CGGAGCCCCTGCCCAGGACCTGGCGTCGCTCCTGTGTCGTGGGTGAATTGTTTCATGAAACGGCCCCTCACTCTGGCATTAACATCAGCTGAGGGGGGACTTCGAGCGCGGAGGAACGCTCCTTTCAACAGCAGCAAATAGACTGTGGATGGGAGCGCTTCTGAGAGTGTCAGAGAGATCGATGGATTCCCTTTATCTCTGGTTTCCAAGTATTTATACTGCACATGTAACTGTGGCTACCAAGCAGTGATATATCCCTGGCCTTTCCTTGCTTTTTTTTTTTTCTGAGGGAAATTACCACAGAGGGCTTCTAAGACAACTTTCAAAGACGTCTACCTCCAAAATTGGGAATGAACCTCTTAACACCATGTGAGAGACTGAAATGCCAAATGATTGTCTCAAAGCTTGCTTGTGTGTGTGCTTTGCATCACGGGGTGGTGTCAGTAATGCCTCGAACATCCATCAAGGACCAGCTGTGGCCTTTGTAATCGGTCTAAGGAATGTCACCCGAGGAAGCAGGAGTGTATCGATGGACGCACCCTCCCACTCCCTTGCAGCTGCATTGACAAACTCCTTAGATAAAGCTCAAAGAGGGGAAAACATAGACAGTGAAACCAAGTGTTTCTTACCAATACAAGGACCACAGATCACCAGCTCCATTGTATAAGCCCAATACTTTGTAACTCTATTGTATGCCAGATGCTATGCATGCCTTGCAAATGACTTTGAGACTTCACCAGTGAGGAGGTGATAAGAACTGATGAGAGGTGATCATTTTTGCCCCAGAAGCTGGATGATTGCTCAAGAAGCATGAAGTCAGCGGATCTGTGGGAACTGAGGCAAAACCAGGTGGGCAGGTTGAGCATGACCACCGACTCGTTGGGCAATGGGTGGTGCACCCCATTTCTCCTCAATGTATGAACCCATGCTCCACCTTTTTCCTGGTCTCTCATGGAAATGAGTTTGCAGAATATCTGCCTCTCTGCCTAGTAAGCAAATCATCTGATGAGTTTAAAAGGCAACAGAGAATTTTGTTGTGTGTGCACCCACCACCGAAGAACTGGACTGAGGACCAATGGATGCTGCTGTATCCATGGTGGGGACTATTATTTTGACTCTATTCCAGATGCTTGCTTGATTTTTGTCTTTTCCTTTCATTCTGTACTATTGCTACCACTCCTCACTTTTAGTAATAAAAATGGGTTTGGATGTATGGCATTTGACCATGTTTGTGTCTTAATCTCACTCTTAGGATCATTTCAAAACCTCCCCTGACATTGGATCAGGACACACCAATGTAGCATTAAGAAACAGACATTTCTTTAATTCAGTGCTGGGTGCGTGGGGGATCATTCCTCCTAACATGCACATACTAAACCAAAAGTTCATCCTTTATATACCTAAAGTACATCAATATTCATACATTGTCCGAGAAGTCTCTGCCTATCTACTACATTTACATAATGCTGGCATTGCAAAACTACACTGTGCATGTGTGGTTGTCTTGTGTGGTAATCAGTGGTTGTTTTGGGAGTTAGCCCCCTACTTCTTTTCCCTTTTCTGGTCACAAGTGCTTTGAAGAAAATTTCATCTCCTTGAATGTTTCTCAACTTTGTTGTCCAACCAAGCTGTTCTTTCTTACCAGCCTTGTTTGAGGAATTCTGCCAAGATGTATCTATTCTCAAGGTTAGAATATCTTTTCTGTACGCTTTAATCACTCAGGCCTTGTTACATTCAAAGTTAATAATTTGTTTGGTATTGAATTTCTCAACCAACATCTTGAGACCCAAGGCTGCTGCGCTGCAGGTCAGTGCTACAAGTGGGATGCTTTCTGCTCTGTAGGCAGGCTGCCCCTCAAGGGTGGTGTACCTAAGTGCCACTGAGGTGCTGGTGGTGACTGAGGCTTGTGCTGCTGCTTTGGGCAGGCTGGGAAATCAACTATTCTGCTTAAATATGAAAAGGAGCAAGTTATGTTTGGTTATTTTTTTGTTTTTTTCCTGTTACTGAAATTTGAACAAGTCCTGTTAAGATTAACCTGTCCTAACATACTTAGTATCCTGACAGAGTTTTGTTGGTTTTTTTTTTTAATTAAGTAGACGTGTAGGACTGGTAGGGACCTACTGGGTTGTTGGTTAACATCCCCATGAAATCAGAGGCAACCAAACCCTGTGGTCCCACAGGAAAACAAAATAACTCTCCCTCTTAGAGCTTCTTCCCACCTTACTAGGTACAATTTGCTTCTTTTCTAGGCTAAAGTTGATGATCAGGACATACCAACCACTCTTCAATCCTGCTAGGAGTGCCTAAGGTTTAATATCCTGGCTTACTATGGA